GCTGATTTCTTTCTAAAACCTGCTTTTATATTCCTGAAATAGTTGCATTTTGTAATTAATTTAGATTATGTTGGTAATTTGTTACATTAAAAATACCTTTTTTAGCTTTCCACCTCCCATTTTCATTTATTTTGTTAAATTTATCTTTATTGTTGAAAGTATTATATATGTCCCCTTTATTTCCTCATTGACTTCCTCCACCCCTCACCTGTCCCCCCATTTTTAAAAGTACCTTTATCCCAAATAGCACAGCTTCCAAACTGTTCACTAATAGACCTCACTCATCATTCCGTCCTTTCAAAGATATTACATGTTTCTGACCTAATTTGAACCACCTTTTCAAAACAACGCGTGAATGAGTGAATTAATGAATGAATGTGCATGCACCGTTGGCTCTGTGTCTTGATTCTTTATTAAAGAAATGTTGCTTCATGGTGAAAACATAGGCAAGAGGTACTGCACAATGATTGCTTTTTCTTTCCAGACACTTCCCTAGAAAGCCATGTTAGTTCTGAAATTGAGAGGAGAAAGATATCACAGCTGAGCAGCCAATCGTGAAATCTTTCAGGGAGCCATGATTATGATTATTAATTTCACCATGGTCGAACAGATGCATTTAAGTATCAGATTCAAAGCTGCTAAGGTTAGTGACGCTGAGTGTTGTTTGGGGATGAAGGGAACAAAGTGTTTGCCCTTCAGCCAGCATTTCCTTTCTACTAAAGATTGATCATTTCGTAATTAAATCAGTCATCAAATTATCCAAAAGTTGACACTCTCCAAAAACGGCTCTGGGCTGATGCAGTTCCGTGCATCTGTAGTATATTATGTCATTAGTTTCTGAAATTCATTGCTGTGCATGTCAGAACCTTTTCCCTAGTCGAAAAGCCTGCAGCTTTTGTCACATAATCACCACCACAAAGATTGATGCTGTATTATATGGAGCTAATGCTTAAAAAACTAAACTGAACTAAACATACAAAATACAAACTCTTAGTGTTTCTTTTACACTCTTCATTTTCAGTATAGTCATTATTGACGCCTGTTTGGCGTTAGTTGATAATGTTTCAAAAAGCCAAGTGGTGAGTTTCTTTTACTTCAATATTTTTTTTCAAAGTTGAAGGGTCTAGAACAACAAACTGGATTTTAGATTGAAAAATCGGGCCCTTCCGGGAGTTTTAAGTTTGCACATGGGCTGGGCAGTTTTGAGGGGAGAGGAAGGTCTCAATGAAATGTGAGTCAGTCTGTATCCATTGAAAAGCTATTTCTGAAATGTGGGTTTGGAGTCAGTGGTCCATGTGGGTGTGTTGTCACAGTTTATGACTAAACTTTGGTTATGTTTCCCTGGAGCTTGGTGTGACTCACATTTTAAAAAAAAATTGATTTGAGAGAGAGAGAAGAAGGGAGAGAAAGAGAGGAACATCAATCTGCCGTCTCCAGCACAAGCCCCTACTGGGAATCAAACCCGCAATCTGGGCATATGCCCCGACCAGGAATCGAACCTGCCACCTTCTGGTGCGTGGAACCATGCTCCAACCAACTGAGCCACACCAGCCAGGGCAGCGTGACTCACATTTTGACTGGTTCACACGCACATCCTTGTTTTGGTTGGCAAATGGAATGAGTTCAGAATAGAAAGATCATTTAGTGGTTTCTGTTCCAGTGGTGCACCTAAAAATGCTCACGACTCGAAGGAAGTGTACAAACTCTAATGGCACTGAGTTGCAGTCATCCTGGCAAAGGCTCATGTCTGAAATACGGATTGTGGAGGAAGAAGATCAAGTACTATAATGTTTGGGCCTGGCCTTAGCTTTTATGGACTTCCTATGAACTCCAGAGTAAGGCTAAGTATTTTCACTTCTAGTTTAAGGCCATTGAACATTTGCCATAAAAACAAGGGAGCAGTATGCTGATTTCTAGTGTGTGCGCCTTGTTAACAGGGGAAAATCTAATTTTACCTGGTGAAGGGGAGGCTAAAGATGCTGTTTTCAGTGGCAAGTCCATTCATAAATAAGTGGCTAAATTCTTTAGGCAAGTAAGAAGTAGATAGGCCCATTGGGAAGTATATGAACTCTTCCCTTGCTATGAATGTAATACTATACCGTATCACTAAATATGCCTGTGTTATCTCATA